TGTATCAAATATAACATTAAACGGTGGTTCTAATACATTTTTTGATATTATTAACCAGCGTACATTATATGGTATTTCTTTCAAAAATTAATGTACTATATGAACTTTTTTTTTCAAATATTTCTTAAGTTTCTTTCATGAGTACTGAAAAGCAACCATGCGTGTAAGAAATTGTGTGCTACCTAAAATTTCACCTCTGGAAACTTTATCCCCATAAAGGACTTCACCACAGTTTTTTTTACTGGATATACTGAGGTTTGGAAGTTGATGGTAAAAATAAATTAATTTAGCGTTATTACTTATAAGATGTTTTTATATTCCCGTTGTCATGAAGCGGTGGGGAAATTTGAGAGAGCGCTTCAGCAAGGAAATTAGAAACTCCCCCTCAGGAAGTGGCGCGCCTGTGGGAAGGCCGTGGGCGCTATTAGACAGCCTGTAGTTTTTAAGAAGTCATATTATTCCTCGCCCGTAAGTAAGATCCATTAACATTATACATACCTATGTAACAACTAGCATGAATCGCTGCTCCGCCCGTTGATCCTTAACCAAATATACTATTTTTCACATATTTTTACAGAATGCGACAAAGTGCGCCATCATTGCAAATAAATGATTTAAGTGGCGAATTTTTGGACATACTTTGCGAGTCGCCCTCGCTTGCGCAGACACCTCAAATCTCCCCTGCGCAGTCACCTCCTAAGACAACTTCAATTCCATCTGCTCAGTCAACTCCAATTCCATCTTCTTGGACAAGGAAGCGAAGAGCCGCACAGGTTGACGAGTTAGGGTACGTTCACACTGAAAGCCGAGCGGCGCCAAGCGAAGCAAGGTGGAACAAGGCGAAGCTGCTGGTGTTCCCACTGAATGGACTCGGCTGGTAAGACACCACAAAAATTACCGTCAATGAAACGCGGCAAAAATATTTGCTAAATTTATTCAAAAGTTTAGTTATAAAATTTGATTTTGTTTGAATATTTTGATATCTTGTTTGCAGCAGCGTCATGAAGCTCAAAAATTAAATAGAAAATTCAAAATCAAAAACTGCTTTGCTTTCCGCTCCAGAACGCTTCTGAAAAGCCTGCTGTAATTTGAAAGCTTCACTTTGCCCGGAACAGCTTCGCTCGGCTCGGCTCCGCTTTCTGTGTGAACGTACCCTTAGACACTGCAATACTGGATACCGCAAAAACTTTCTAGGAGGTATGTGCACGTAAAGGTAATCGAGAAGAGTTTAGTGCGGAGATAAGTCGTTTTGGGAAAAACAATTTTTTCGCTAAATGAACTCAACGTGTTTTGCTCAGCCTAAACAGATGATCGAAAAGATTTACGCCGCTTATATTAAATGTACTATGCCCATAAATGGAGAGTCAGCCTTTAATAAAAATATTATGTCCTGGTTATATAAAATAAAACTAAAAAGTTCAAAATAAAATAATGTAAAAGAAATATTTTTTAAAAACAAGCTTTTGCTTAACATGTACAAAGTAATAAAATAAAGTAGTGTAACAAAAAATTTTTTAGCAAGAAAATTTTGTCAAAACTGCACTAAAATGAATAAAATAAAATAAGTTAAGCTTTCGTTAAAGTTACTAAAAGCCAAATAGTGAAAGGAGTTACTCAAACTCTAATGAAAATTACTAATAATTTGTACTGATTTACTTCGTTTTTAAAAAAGCTTGCTTTCAATTTTTTCCCCTTCAATTGTTAATCTACAATGGAATTAAAATGAAAAATGGTCTTCAGAACTAGTTAGTTACATTGTTTACTTGAAGACGGCATGTTGATATTGAAATTGCTTCTCAATTTGAATGCAGCCTACGTAATGGCATTCAATTTTGATGATTTTTGACAAGCAATGTGTGTGAGGAAATCGAAAGGCAAAACCATGATACAATAATTTATAGAAGGTAGTTTCACTTCAAAATTTTTGACATAAACCGTGTCTGTGACAAACACGCAATGTGGCCACTGCTACGATATAGAACTTGGTGATTTTCGCTTGTTATTTTAGATATTTTTTAACAGAACATGTAAAGATGTATATGTTTCATAACTGATCACTTAATTTTTAATATAAATATACGTACTTAATACAAAAATTTTTGGCACTGCTAATCACATGAATAAAAATCATAAAAATGAAAATATAACGGCAATATTTCTTGTTTATAATGGATTAGATCCATCGTAAACCACGGACTTTATCGGCCGCCGATTTAGATGGGCTCTCTAGTCTTTCCATTGCACCACAACTTATTTCTCGGAGCGATTAAGCTGGTGTAGTGTGCGCACCTCCATAAATCTTCATGTACATATTTCAAGCGAGCCCTATTATTTAAATAGGCGGCCGATAAAGTCTGTGGTATGCGGTGGCTCTTATAGCTCTATCCTTACATCTATTCCGTGTGTTGCAATATCCACGAAAGCAGCAGTTAATTTTTTATGACGAAAATTATTAAAAAATATTCGAAAATTATTATTTATTTTTCCAACGTGAAAAGCTGGATTTTTTTTTTTTGAAAAAGTTGGTACAACAAATTATACGAAACACGTTTTCTGTCAGATAGCTAACATGGCGGATAAGAAGAAGAAGTGAAACTACCTTCTAAAAATTATTGTATCATGGGCAAAACTAATTGTGTGTCGTCAGCGTTAGTGAAGCTTTCAAATTGCTGTAGCTATAGCAGAATATACACAAGCAAACTTGTCTGTACTATATGTCAAGTATGACATACCGTCGCATGGTGGATAGGCGGGTGTGCACTCCAAATTTTAGGTATGCATACATGTATGATAAAAGTTTAAAATTTTCAATTTCTCTGCTTGTAGTTGCGACAGGTCTAAACGTTTATAGTACGGAATGCAGACAGAACGTCATATTTGTATAGCAAATTATAAACCCAGCAAACATTTGGATTCACAAATATTTCAATTAATATAATTTTTTAAAACTGATTTCGCATTATAACTTTATTAAAGACTATTTCATGAAAAAAGGAAAAGCAAGAAATCTTTAACATAGGAGCCTACGCAAACTGTGTAAACCACTTATGTATGTATGTATAAGGATAAATCATTAGATAACTAATTCTAATAGTTTTAAATGAAAACAATTTTTTATTAGTACTTTGATGTGAATGCATATTTAATAAAGATACGAACACATACATATATGTATGACGGAAGCTTTGGGGAAACTTTCCTTTACGGCCTGTCGTTGTATGCATGGTAGGCGGAGCTGTAGGGGTGTGGCA